CATGGGGAAGGCCATGGCAGGACTCAAAGAACCCAGCTGGAGTGGGAGTTCAAGCGGTTTCCTTGGGCGGGGGGGGCGGGGGGGGGGCGGGGGGAGGGCCCAGAGATGAACAGGGTAGAAAGGGCCTCCTCTGGGTGAGAAGGAGGGACCCACTCACTGAGATGATCCGCAGAAGCAGAGCACACGACAGGCACGCAAAGCACTTTGATGACACACTGGTGCGATACAGGCACCTCAATTTCTGACACACACTTGCGGTAGATTCCAAGGGTGACCCCTGGTCAGCCTCTCCACTACTGTTTCACCTCCACTGAGTAGTCCTCTGGTCAGGAGGCAGGTCCAGCACTGGCTCCTGCGATTCTTCACGCTGCTGGGAGAGTCCCAGGCACTGAAGGGAACGTAGTTTTCTTGGGAGCGATAGAGTCTCTTTCACATTAGGAGGTGTGGCCCAGGTGAGGCTGGCAGCAGACATCTCCCGTGGGAAGCCTCTGCACCTGGCAGGACTGTATTAGCTGCTAATGCTTAAAACCAGGACATTTCAAAAAAGGTTCTCTTGGTAAACGGGAAGATCTGGCAACACTGAGTCTACAGTCCTGCGCGGCAACAGCGGGTCACCAGAGGAGCACAGGCACGGTTGGCCCTGACCTTGACCTGGCTCTGCTCTAGCAGTGCCTCCACAGGCACTGGAGAATGAGGGGCCTCTGACACTTGCCCAGGTGAGGCCCAGTGGATAGGCCATGGATCTTACAGGATACACAACTGCCTGTCCAGCCTCGTTCTGAGTGAGCAGTGACGCCCACATGGGCACAGAGGCACCCTAGCTAGCTCACCAGGACACCATATACCGGTCATTTGGCAAAGGCTTGGTCTGCAGCCGCAAGGGCGCCATGAATCCGTAAAGGTGGGCAGGAGAAGCTGGAGGGATGGGGGCAAAGGCCAGCCCGCAGCTCGGGGGACCTTTGATCTTGCGGTCTTGGTGAGCTGGGAACGAAGGAGGCAAAAGGAAAGGTGCACGATGTCTCTTGGTCCCCTCAGAAGCCCTTGGAATTCTGAGGCGGAGGAAAAAGCCTGGGAGGTCTCGCTGACTTTCAGCTGCGAAATCCCACTCCTGGAAGCTGCAAAACCTCGGGTGAGCACCAGGAAGCTCACCGGCACGAAGTGCGGGTAGAGGTCGATGCCAGTCTTCCCAGGCTGGCCCAAGTCTCTCCCGATGGGCCTTCTCCGGCGGCGCACTGGCCCCTCCCTCCCACCCCGCCCGGTCGCGACCCCGCGCAGCACCAGCTCCTTCCTGGGGTACCAGCGCCCGCCCCCGCCTCCGGGCACCGCCAGGCCTGGCCTCGCGTCCCTGGCCCGCCGCGCGCGCTGACGTGCGCGTCCGCGACGCTGAGCCGGAGCCAGGCCTGTAGCGGCGGGTCGCCGGGCCCCGCCACCCGGCGCGCCCTTCCCACCCGGCCGCTGCGCGCCTCTCACCCGTGAGGCCTCCGCCTCTGCGGTGCCCCCGGCGCCGCTGCAGCACGAAGAAGGGGTTGGCCCGTTCTGTCACCCACAGCGCATTGGCCACCAGCACCTCCTCCGGGCCCAGCCACATCGTGGGCCACTCGCACCGGGACGGGCCGGACAGGCGGAAGCGCCGCCGACGGGCCGAGCGGGAGGGCGGAGCGCGCGGCGACCCAAGCAGGCGGTGCCCCCTGGCGGGCCGCCGGACCTCAGGACGCGGGCCCCATCCACGCCGGCCTTCGGCCCCGCCCCGCGCCAGCCCCGCCCACGCCGACCCCAGCCCCGCCCCGCTCCAGCCCCGCCCACGCACACCCGGCCCAAACCGGCCACGTCGCCTCAGCTGCTGGCCCCGCGGTGTACGCCCTTCCCCCCTCCCCCAACTTTGCACTGGCTCCCGTAGCTTCGTCCTGGAGGGACGAAGCCCTGGGTTGAAAGGCTCTGGCCAGAATGGCCAGAGGAACTGGTTGTGCGGAGGAGCAGGGACCCTGGGGTTTTGTGAAAATCCGTCCTGGGTTTGGGGTAACAATGTAAAGAAATAGCATTTGGAGGTACACTTTTGGCTGATTGCGCAGTGCGACCAGAGCGTGTTAACATTGCAAAGGGCGGCTGGAAAAGGGTTATATTGTAATAATTCTCCGAATTTTGACACTCGGGCCTAAGACTAGGAGGTCCTGCAGGATCCTGGACAGCTTGTCAGGAAGCCCCCAGTCTGGCAGTATCCTCAGAAATCAGTGCAAGACACTAAGGCTGGGTGGCCCTGGGGCCAGGCTGAGGTTTCTGCACAGGCGCGGGTGGGCAGCACCCGGCCCTGGGTTGCGGCCCCTGCTCTCCCAGTGCTGGTCAGAAGGGGTCTGAACACCGACTCTTCTGGTACCTCACTCAGCTGGGGCGATAGACGTGTATGCAGAATGCCCTGTGCCAACTGCAGCGTGGGATCGCCCTGCTGGCCTGAACCTGCCAGGGCCTGGGAGGAGGGCAAGGGGAAGGGGCTCTTTAGAATCACCCTTGGAGGCTTAAGTGAGTTTCGAATTGGGTTTCTGCCCCGGCATTCAAGAATCCTGTATGGCAGGTGTCAATACAAATAGGTGATTTCATGGTTGAAACCACAGCCAGAGTGATCAAAAGTCTCCTGAAATGTTGCTGAAGACTTTGAATGAACTTTCAAGATGCAGAGGCTGGTTTTTTTAGACCTGGGAAGTTTAAACTGTTAACATGTCCTTGTGACTCAAGAACTTGGAAGCACAGGGTCCTGCATCAGTGAGGCCTGCTGGAGGGTGATAATATGGGTGTAATAATGTATAGTTTTAATTTGAACATATCCCCTAACATGTCGTAGGGTGTGCTTGAGTGTGATATTGTTATGTTACAGAATCACATCCTTATGACTTTGTAATAAAAAGGGGCATTATTTGTGCCAGACCCTGTACTCATTCACACCCTGAGAGGAGATGAGTTATTTGGTTTCTTTGTTCCAGTGGTTCTCGAACTTGAGCTGCATCAGAGTCACCTGCAATGCTTATTAAAGAAGAGATTGCTTTGCTCCACCTGCAGCATTTGTACATCTGAAGTCCCTGACACAACATTGGCGCTGCTGACCCGGAGACCAGCTTTGGAGAATGACTCTTTATAAGCAGGAAAATAACATTTATTGAGCACTTAGGATGTGTTAAATCTACTTCATTTTTTTCTTTCTTTTCTAAGATATAACTCATGTTCTATAAAATTCACCCTTTTAAAGCACCCAGTTCAGCATACTCACAAAGTTGTGTGGCCATTACCACTGTCTCATCCACAACATTTTTTAGAGAAACCCCTTCCCCACTAGTAGTGACCCCTCATTCCCCAGCCCCCTCAGATCCTGGCAGCTACTAGTTTATTTCGTTCCCTCTACATTTGCCCATTCTGGACATGTGATGGAAATAATACAATCACACAGTGTGTAGGGGCCTTTGTGTCCGGCTTCTTTCAGCGGCCTGTTCGAGGCTCACCCCACTGTAACAGGGGTGGGTGTTCCATTCCGTTTTCCCTCTGGGCGGCAGTCCAGTGAGTGGATGGGCCACATTTTGTTGGTCTGTTCAACAGTCAGTTTCCCCTTGTCAGCTATTGTGAATAATGCTGGTCTAAATGGCTGTGTACGAGTTTTGTGTGGACATGTTTTCAATTCTCTCGGTCAGGTCCCTAGGATTCGAACTGTTTAGGCATGCAGTACAGCCATGTTTACCTTTTTGAGGAACTGCCAAGCTGTTCTCTAGACTAGAGCGGCCTCATCATCACACACTGGCACCAGTGACATGTAAGGGTTGCAGTTTCTCTGTGTCTCCTCAGCGTTTGTGATTGCCTGTATCCGTGGTTACAGCCCTCCTAGTGGGGGTGAAGTGACGCTACGGATGGTCTGGATTTTCAACTTCCTCATGACTTTGCATGTGCTTTGATGGTCATTTGTGTTTCCTCCTTGGAAAGATGTCTACTCATACTCTTTGTCTATTTTAAATTGGGGTTTTTTAAATTGTTGAGTTTTAAGGGGTATCTATGCATTGGGATACTAGACTTCTTACATCATTTTAAATCTCATCCTCACACATTAGCTCTAGGAGGTAGGTATTTTATGGTGCCTATTTGAGAGACGATAAACCAAAATCCAGACAGGTGACATGATCTGCCGAGTTCATACCGGTAAGTGGTGGAGGTGGTCCCCCTCCTGTGCGCGCCTTTCTGTCTCCAGCTGGTCTCTGCCTGTACGGGACGCCTGCTGCTTCGTCCCAGCATCCACTTCGTCCTCAGAGGCATTTTGACTTTGCTGTGGGAACCACACCTTAGAACTCCTGTCGCTCAGGTGGAGCTGAGTGCACTCCTGGGTGGCAGAAGTAGAACCCATGCTGGCCTTGGCCATTGGCACATTCTACCTCTGTGACCACAGTGGCTGGTTTGGTGATGATCATGTGCCTCCCAGCAAGCCAGGCAGGGTTAAGGAGATACCATTCTGGCCTGGGTGACCTCCTGGGGAATCAGGTCACTTCTGCTGCTGATGGGGCTTCTGCCATGCTGAGCCTGAGCCTGAAGTTCCCCTGGAGGGAGCAGAGCTAGCAGTGCCCCTGGGTGTTGGTGTTGGAGGCCAAACCATGCCATGGCCCGGCACAGACCCCTGGCACTTCCGCTTTTGTGAGCCATCGCTTCCCTCTTTAGCTGAAGCCAGTTTTGGTTGGGTTTTTGTGAGTCCTCACCCATACAGGCTGCCACCAATAGTACTCTGTGTGGCAAAGCAGCTTTTTCAGTAGTTTTTTAAAAATTTATTTTTTAAAAGATTTTATTTACTTTTTAGAGAGAGGGGAAGAGAGGGAGAGAGGGAAACATCAGTGTGTGAGAGATACATCAATTGGTTGCCTCCAGCATGCCCCCAACTGGGGACCTAGCTTGCAACCCAGGCATGTGCCCTGACTGGGAATCAAACCAGCAACCTTTTGGTTCACAGGCTGGCACTCAATCCACTGAGCCACACCAGCCAGGGCTTTTCAGTTGGTTTTTATTGAAATGGTTATATTAGCAAATCCCACATACAGGTATACACTACTGGCATATAGATATATACCATACAATTTCACTACTATATTATACTTACATCAACCATTTGGACCTAGAGGTTGTGCTGCCCAGAACCTTTTAAAGGGCTTAAAAGATCCGACTGCCAAGAAGTCAGCTCACAGTCTATTGCAGGTATGTGTTTTGGACAAGGTAACTCCCCTACAGTGAGCCCCCAAATTAAGCTAATGATCAATTTTGCACCTTGGATCTTTGATGTGTGTTCTTTCTGGCACAAACTAGCCAACGGTGGATTAAAATTCAAGCGTGTAGTTTCCCTCTCATCACTCAAGGTGGAAGTGAAGCCATTTGCCACATTCAGATATACCCCAGCCTCCCCACCCCGAATTGTCCACATGCAGTCAGAAAAACAGCTGCATGCCATCCTCTGAGATACTGAGATACTATGCATAGTCAGCGGGAACCCAGAGGGCGAGGCGCCCTTTGAGTGACCCAAGTATGAAAGGGGCAACTTTAATGTTTGATACGAGTACAAAAGCTGCTGCAGGTCAAGAACAGTTGTGACACCTGTGGCTTCATGTTTGGACTGACTCCTTCTCTTGCACAGGAACAGGGCTGCCCCATTTGGTGACTGTGTTCCCCAGGTCCCCAACAGCACTTCCTAGCTTAAGTGCTTTCCTGTTTCTGAAATCACACTGGTCGTTTCCCTAGAGCCACTGCCGCTGGGGAGGAGACCCTGCTTCTGATTCTTAGCTGAGACAACGGAGGCCGGTGCAGGGCACCTCCCTCCGGGACGGCCTGTGTCCTCTCAGGCTGGGCGCCCACGGAAGGAGCTGAGGCCCTGGAGCACACACACCTGGCAACCTGGTTCACACGGCATGCTAGCGGTCACTGGCCAGGTGGCCTTTCTATTTGGGAACAGCTTCATGAGCTGAGGGAAAGAAACAGCTGGACCTTCCGTTCACCACCCCCTGCCCCCCCCCCCCCCGCACCAACTTTTCATGTTTACAGATATCTTGGCTTAGTACCTCCCAGTCACTAGAAACATTCTCTGACCTCACACAGTGTAGACATGCATGGACTTAGCTGTGGATGAAGGATAATTCTGAAAGCAACTTAAAATTTACTTTGTGTGTTGGGTTAAAAATCTATAAATAGCTCAGAACAGTCATCCGTAGCTCTTGACTGTTGCCAATAGTTGCAGAGGTTGCTGGAGAGAGAGGGTGATCCCTGCCTCGGGGATCAGGAGCTGAGGAGGGCCTGCCAGGCTCGCCAGATGTGTGGCATGCCCATGAGGACCACCGCAGGCAGCATTAAAGCAGACTGAGGGCCCTGGGAGCCACGTCCGGGGATAAAGCTCTGTGCAGCCAAGATAAGGGTGCTCACGACATGCTCTGGCCATGGGCTTTTCCCAGGAGGAGGTGCGTGGTTTAGGAAGGCACCTCCTGCTGAGCCGGGCTGCTCCCCAGGCTCCTGCATAGGCAGCATGCCTGCCCTTGGCACTGGCAGTGCTTTGTCAGGCCTGCGGCCTCTGGGAAAGCCAGTCTTGCCAGGCTGCCAGACAGGCCTGGGCCCCTCCCAATCCCGATCTCCAGGGTACCCCTCAGAAGATTCCCAGGAGAAACAGAGAGCCCGGCATGGAGGCCTGAGCATTTTCATCATGAAATCCCTCTGAAAGCCTAATACTCAAGTTGCATGAGGTTGTTTTTGTTTGTTGGACAGTATCTTCCTTCTTCCCCATCAGAGTGAATAAAAGAGAAAATGGCATGAACCAGGGTGAGCCACAAGAGGGGAAACTCCAGATGAGTCCCAGGTCACGGACTAGGAGCTCCACAAGTTTGGGTGCAGATACATGGATATCGTCCTTTTAGCAGCCGAGGCTGAGGGCCCCTCTTCCCCTCCAGGGTCCTTGAGGCTCATGGCATGCAGCTCCAGAAGATGCCAGTGACTTTCACCCTGTGTCTGGGGACCCACTGGTCTCTCCTCTCTGAGACTCAGTTTGTTGGGATCACCTAAGACAGATACCCTTAAGGAGGAGGGCAAACCTCCAGACTTGACAGACATCCTGGAGGAGTCCATGGCCACAAGGGGGCTCCTGACCCCATGTCAGCACCCCTTCACCCAGGCCTTGGAGAGATGGGTGTGTGCTGGGGACCTGGAGCACCAGGTGGAGAAACTCTGCTCGCAGAGATACCAGGGGATGGAGAACTCCACGCAGGCGCAGCACAGGCACCACTGCCAGGCCGGTCCTTCAGTGCATTCTCTGCTCTTACCTACGGAAGGCTTTTCCAGTCCTGCTGGGGGGCCCAACCACAGGGGTCCAGGGTGGTGCATGATTACGCATACTCAGCACTCACCATCAGGCCAGTGGGCTTTGGAACAATTTACTCATGAGGCCAAAAAAAGAGGCAAAACTACATGCACCTCACTGGTAACAACTACCCTTAACAGGGAAGGTGCTGATTTTAAATGGCGTGTGTTGTAATGGTCACCCTCACTCATGTGTGGGGCTGGGAGCAAATGCTGAGCATGATCCCCATGGTTTGTTGGGGGAGGTGAGGGCCAGCTGCTCTGGCCTTGGCCCAGAGTGGCCCCTTTCCTGAATGGGGAGATTACACTCTGAGGTTTTCCTACATCTGCTGCTGTCAGCAGCTCCACTATCCAGCCCCACCAGCAGCCTCCCCAGGGCCTCACCACAGGTCTGGCTCTCAGGTCCCTGGGCAATCATCATCCTGCTCTGGCTTCCACCACCATCCAAAGTAGGAGTGCCCCAGGCCTGCTACACTCTCACTCTGGGGCTCTGACTCCAGTGTGTGTGTGGGGGAAGGGGAGTCTGTGTACGTACTGTGTATGTGAGAGGGAGAGGGAGAGGGAGAGGGTGGAGGGGTGGGGCACCTGAGGGACTGCAACCACACGGAGACTGCCTTGGCAGGACCAGTGATGGGCACATTTAGAACAGCTTCCCAGGAACTCTGATGCCCAGAGGGGCTGTGGCCTGCTCATTCCCCCTCACCCCCCCACCGCTGCTGGAGACCCTGAGCTGCATCTGCCTGCCCCTCTAGAGGCACTGCCAGTCTGAGCCCTTAGGTGCCCTCGAGGGCTCTCCCTGGGTCCCACCGACACCCACCCCATCACCTGCTTCAATCTGGTGGCTCCCTCCTTTTCCACGTTCAGTCAGACCCCAGCCAGGGGCCCGACTGTGAAGTTTTCTGCTCTGCCTGGCCCTGAAGGCAGGCTGCAGCCCCCAGGCACCCACCCTGCTCACTCTCCCAGCAAAGATTTGGGCCCTCCCCATAGCAAAGCTCCCCTGACTAGCAGGTGACACCCATACCTTTGCCCTCTCAAGCCCCCTTAGGTGCCTTCACTGGAGGGGTTGCGTTCCTAGCACCTCAGGTGCTCCAGGCCACACTGTGCCCTCCACCTGTGCCTCGGGAACCCTCTCTTCACGGCCCTCCCTCATCTCATCTGGTCTCTCACCCTAGCTAGGCGGGAGTGGGCCAGTTTCCTGTAACAGCCACAGTCTTAACAGTCACAGGGTCCACGGCTCCAAGTGTCTGTGTCCCGCACACAGTGAGATCCTGGTGAAGGTCGCTGACCAAATCAGTCCTGTAATTCTGCCTGTTCCCTTCTAAACCCTACTTCCTGGAAACTGATTTTTGTTTCGTGACTGTTGCGAACAGCACCCACTTGCCAGGCGGCCCGACATGACACTGCCGCCTTGCTTTCCTATGGCAGAAATACTGCAGGACAGAGGCTGACGGCAAGGCAACATCCTGATTTTTCTTCAGTTAAAACCAGTCTCGTTTAGCATGTAGATCAAGGAAAGAACTGGATATGAGGGGTTACAAAAGCATGAGAAGAACACATGAAGCCCACGGAAAACAGCCAGCTGGTTGAATTTAGTAATCTCATTTTGTTGAAACCCTTTGCAACCACAGCTTTGGAAGCTGGGCTGCTGCAGGCACTGGGGCGGCTTGCAGGTGTCTAGGGAGGCACCTGGTGGACGGTGTCTGAGCCCAGCCAGTAGGGGGCAGGGAAGGAGCCTTTCTTCACAAGTGGGGATCAACAGACTGTGCAAGGTGTTCTTAACCACCTCTCGGTGGAAACTGTATTATTCCCCCAAGGAGGCTGAGGCAGGCAGCCCTGGACAGACACACTGCCCACTACCATGGCTGCCAATAGGCTGCCCCAGTCCTGGCCCTCCTCACACTGACAGCGGGGCTGCTTTCTGGCCAGCCTCCTCTCCTCTTCCCCTGATATGACGGGAAAGGAGGGATATGGGAAGTTGTTCCCTTAGGAAGTTAAAAATCACCAAATGGTAGGCGTTTGCATTTTAGCTTCACAACCCAACTCCTGGCTGCTCCAGACTCCGGTTCATGTGCACCCTGTGGCCCTGCTGCTGGTTCCACACCCGTGGAGCCCGGCTCAGAGCAGTCCTCACACAGTTCCCAGCACACTCCCCAAAACTGCCAGAGTCATCATGCATTTCTGGGCAATAACCACGGTGGCTGGGAGACTGGCAGCTGCGGAGATGCTCATGCAAGGCGGGAAAAGCGCCTCTCCGCACCCCTGGCCACGTCTGCCTGGCCAGTTAACTCTGCAGCTCGGACCTCAAGCTGCTCCCACGCAGCGATGCCCGGAGAGCGGGCGCTGGGGGGCTGTCCAGGTGGAAGACCTCGCCTGGGCACAGCTGCCAGCAGAGAAAAATTGTGCCCCCTCGCTGCTCCCCAAGCATATGACCTTCATGGAGAAGTTCCTGTCCCTCTTGCCAAAGGCAGGGCGTTATGTGGCTGAACAGGAGGAGTGCGGCCCCGCTGCCCAGGCAAGGGTGTTGAGCTGGGCTCCGAGGCGCCATTCTGAGTGAACTCCCTGGAAGAAATGCCTGCTTAGTTATTCTAAGGAATGTGTGCCCTAGATTTACCAGAAATTCCAATGTTATATCAATAAGTAGGCTTTAAATTTCTTCTCAAGTGATTTCATTTCTTTTCAATAATGTCCCGAGTGGTATTGACTGCAATTGCTTGTGTAAGTCTGCACAGGTCTGAAAAAAACGCCAGGCGGGGATGTGAGCTCTGGTTCAGGAAAGCACGGGCGTGGTGGGGACCACGTGATCAGAACCTGCCCTCCGCCCTGTGGGAGGGGCCGCACCCAGCAGTGCCCAGGTGCAGAGTCTGGAGGCCCTGCGGGCGGCTGAGTTGAATCTCCTCGACACCAGTGGCAGATGTGTCCTGAACAGTGCTCTCTTGAAACTGTTTTTTATCAAAAATATTTTTATAGTTCAAAGACTGTAAAAAGAAAAAGCCCTTGGTTAAAGGCTAAAACAGAAAGCTGCCAAGACCTTCAACATCTGCACGGTTCTGGCTTCTTATGATTAAAAACCCAGCACTCACAGCCAGGCCGAGGTGGTGGCCCTGCAGGCTGTGGCCAGCCCGGGTCGCGGGGAGGGGCAGGGGTTCTCTCCCGGGCATGGCCATGTCTGGGCGTCTCGGCCACAGATCGAGAACAGAGATGCTGTTAAAGAGAAGCCAGTGCACATGGAAAAGGGCAAGGGTTCCCTTCAAGCTTCTGTCCCACAGAGTCAATGAAAACAGCGGGGTGGGGACACCAGGGCTGCATGGTTTGTGCGGGTCGCACTCTTGACTGATGGAGACTGAGGTTTCCATTCTCATAACAAGGACAGGAGGGCCCGAGCACATTCATTCACACCTCGCTGCAGCTCCGGTCACTAGGAGACGTATGCTGAACTAGGGTGTGTCCTCGAGCAAAAAGGGTGCTCAGATTTGTTTCATAAATTTGCTCATCATGGTTCCGTGCTGGGATTACTCTTAAGACACACAATTCTTGTGATGTTAAATTGATGTTGTCCCGGGTGTGCCCTGCGCTGGCTGCCACCTTGTTCTGTAAGCTCCTGTGCCTTCTTCATGCTGACATTGAGGCTGGCAGGGGGGCGCTGGGCTGGCCCAGCGAAGCCTAAAGCAGGTGCTCATCTGGTGTCTCACAGCAGGGAGGTGGTGTGATCTGCTCAGGAAAGCGCTAGGAACCGTTCTGAGTTTGATGCCCACTGACTGTCACCCTGAGATCGTTGCCAGGCTGGCCTCCTGGGTGCCATGTCCCCACACGCCTCGGTGGTGCTGAGCTAATAAGTCCACAGGTCTCAGGGAAAGTCCTTCAGTGTGTCAGTGGTCACACAAGCACACATCACCTTATATCACGCTCTGTGACAATGTGGACAACCGCCTACCCTGCACAGTGCACCTGCAGCCCCATCTGGGTGTGTTGGGTGGTCAGTCTCAGGGGAGGGACAAAAGGCAAGGCCTCGCAGGAACTTTAGAAAGATGCCCTTTAACGGGAAGTAGAACGAGAGACAGGAAAACATGGAGTGGGCCACGTAGCAGCAACTCGTGCCCGCATCGGTGAGAAGCATGCCTGAGGGTGTCAGTGTGCGTCGCTAAGTGGGGAGCACAAAGGTATCAAAAACGCCAATGTCGCCCTGACACAGACAGCCTGGGATTATTTAGAGAGAGTTTGAGATGCAACATGAACCCCTGGGCCTCCTCTTCTCTGCAAACAACCAGGCTTGTTGGGGCCCATGTACAGTCGTCAGCTTTGGACGGGTTTTAGGTGCCACCAGGTCACTTGGGCAATAAGGCTGTCCTCAGAGCCTCACCTTTGCAATTTAACCCCGAGCCTGAACCTGAGCTTGGAAAGTGCTGCCATTCTTCCAAAACGGACGCTGACAGAAGAGTACACATTAAGAAAGGTGATCATACATCAAATCACAAAAGAGGTGAGCCCAGATGGCCCGTTTAAAAAAATCAGGTTTTGTTCTCATCGTACATGTCCAAGGAAGGCTCGAGTGTGGAGAATTCACTTTCATACGCCAGACTCCGAGGGGACAAAGAGCTCCGATGAAAGAAGTGACCACCTGGAAAAGGAACAAGGAAAACAGACTTACTAGGTCGTTGGGCTCATACTGCCCCCACGGCTCCGAGGAAAGAGGGTGGGTTATCTCGGAAGCATCACATTTGCTCAAATACCTGTCTCTATTGGGCTCTTTTCATGAGGGAAATGAAATGAATTCAAGCATCCTTCAATTTAAACACACTTTAAATATGGACATTCCAATGTTTGGGTCCTCAAAAGATTAACCACTGGAGCTTTTCAGAGCAAAAGCCGCCCGGTGCCCTTACAAGGCCTGCACTTGCAAACTCGAAGGCTTCTACCGAGCAGCTCATGGTCCCTCCTGTCTGAGCTTGGGGTGGGGGTGCTCTGAGTCCCTCCATCGCCGGGCACACTGAGGCTGTGACTTTGAAGCTCTGACAGAAGTTTTAATTTATATTAAAGCTATACCTTCTACAGTTCAGACAGTGAGCCCCACGTGCACTCAAGTCACTAATCTGCAGCTTGCCTTTTCCAGAGACAGCCGCTCTGGGCAACTTGTGGCCTGGGCCTCCATTCTCGGGAGCACGCGCCTCTGCCGACCCTCCCTGATGTTTTCAGCAACAGAACTTACTACTGGACCCCTACTCTAGGGTTTTCCCCCTTAGCTGCACCCACAGATTTTTCCATTGCCCCAACATACTCACACTTGTATTTTGATAAGAAAGTTCAATGTTTACATTATTTGATTGTGCTATTCAGAGCTAAGTCATGTTTACAGTCCCTTTTCTCAATAACTGTGTTTTGTTTTACAGCTTTATAGGGGCATAACTGGTATATAACAAAATGCACATATTTAAAATGTATAGCTTGACAAGATTTGACCTATACACACATCCCTGAAACATCACTGGAATCAAGACAGCCAACAAACAAGAAAACAAACAAAAAAAAGAAGTATTAGAAAATAAAAAGACAGTGAACATCATGAATCCCAAAACCTCCTGGTGACTCTTCTTCCCCTTCTTCCCACCTATTCCCACCCCCAGATAAATGCAGGTGAGTTTGCATCTTGCTAGAATTTTATTTAAGTGGAATCATGGACTCATCTGCTGGCTCTTACAAGTAAAGCTGCTACGAATGTGTGTGCATGGGTCTGACCTCCATTTGAGAAGCTGCGGAGGTGCATGCCCACGTTTCTGCCGAGCACCCTGCCAGCCTGTGCTGTGTGTGGGGTCCCATTCGGCACCTCCCTAGCACCTAGACACTCGTGTTGGGCGCACCAGCCACAGCAGGACTCCCTGTGGCATCAGGGTGCAGTTCCCTGATACCCGACACCTTCTCCTGCGCTCATCAACCCATCATGCAGGTGTTGTGAAGCATTTTGCTCAAATCTTTGCCCATTTAAAACAGTGGGTTGTCTTCCTATTACTGAGTTATAAGAATTTTTAAAACACACACACAGGTTCTGGACACAATTCCTTTGTTTTGTAAATATTTTCTCTTAGTCTGTGGACTGACTTTTTATTTTCATAACAATGCCCTCTGAATAGCAAAAGTTTTAAATTTTGATAAGATATGACCTGTTGATTTTTCCTTCTGCCGTGGGTGTTTTGTGCCGGAGTAAAGGATCTTGCTAATGCCAAGGGCAGTAAGATTCTTCTCCTGTGTCTTCATCCAGAAGTTTATAGCTTTAGCTCTCACATTTAGATAAACCACTGCAAATAAATTTTTGTGTATGGTGGGGAATAAGGATCAAAGTGCATTGTTTTGCCTGTGGGCATGTTCAACAATTTCAGCACCATTCATTTAAAGGGCTATCCTTTCCCCTTTGAACTGCTTGGCACCTTGGTTGAAAATCTCTTGCTCGTGTAGGTATGGCTTTTGCGGGGCACTCTCCTTTGCTCCAGTAATCTGTTTGCCTGCCTTGCGCTGTCTCGATTACTGCAGCTTTCGTTGCCAAAGTTGTCCATCTTGTCATTGGTTTCCATAAAATTATTTTAAAGTCCACATCTGATATTTCCAATATTTGTATGTTTTGTGGATCTATTTCTATTCTTTGTTTTTCCTCTTTTTTTGGTCATTTGGCTTCCTGGTATTCCTGGTATTTTTTCTTTTTATTACTCTTTCTTTATTAAGTTATAGTTGACAAACAATATTATATGACTTCCAGGTGTCAACATAGTGAGTCTACATTCACATATCTTTACAGTGTGATCACAAGTCTATTATCATCTGTCACAATACAAAGTTATGGTATCATTGACTATATTCCCTGTGCTCTACATTGTATGCTGTGACGTTTACTTTGTAACTGGAAATTTATACCTCTTTTTCCCTTTCAGTTTTTCACCCCCTATCCCACTCTGTGTTCTCTGGCAACCATCAGTTTGTTGTTCGTATCTGTTAGGTTGGCTGAAAAGTTCATTTGGTTTCTTCAGTAAGATGGCTCTAGTAGGGCTCAGTGGTTTGTCTTTAACTTCCTTCAAAACAATGTTGTTAGACTGTGTTGTGACAGCTGCCATATCAGCATGCATTAAAAAAAAAACCTTATCAGAATTGGTGAATTTGACCTCCAGACAAGATGGAGGCGTAGGTAAATACACTTTGCCTCCTCACACAACTGAAAGAAGGACAACAACAAATTTAAAACCAAAAAATAACCAGAACTGCCAGAAAATCAAACTGTATGGAAGTTCAACAAACAAGGAGTTAAAAGAAGAAACATTCATCCAGACCAGTAGGAGGGGTGGAGTTGGGTATCTGGGGTGAAGAGGACTTGAAGCAGGGTGGGGGCTGGCAGACTGGCCCGCATACATTTGCATGCGGATAAACTGGGAGGAACAACTGGGCAGTGAGCTAGACTGAGTAACCCAGGGTTCCAGCCCAGGGAAATAAAGCCTCAACCCTCTGACTGAAAACACCTGTGGGTGTTGAGGCAGCAGGAGAAACTCCCAGCCTCACAGGGGAGTTCGTTGGAGAGACCCACAGGGTCCTAGAAAATACACAGACCCACCCACTTGGGAATCAGCACCAAAAGGGCCCACTTTGCTTGTGGGTAGTGGGGGAAGTGACTGAAAGCTGGCGGAGGGCCGAGCAAGCAGCACTGTCCCTTCTCAGACCCCTGTCCCACATACAGGGTCACAACAGCCATGTGGGTTGTCCCACCCTGGTGAACACCTAAGGCTCTGCCCCTTACTACATAAGAGGTGGTCTGAGATTAAAAAAAAAATGGCCCAAATGAAAGAATAGATCAAAGCTCCAGAAAAAATACAACTAAGCAACAAAGAAATAGCCAACCTATCAGATACACAGTTCAAAACACTGGTAATCAGGATGCTCACAGAAATGGTTGAGTATGGTCACAAAATAGAGGAAAAAGTGAAGGCTATGCAAAGTGAAATAAAGGAAAATGCATAGGGAACCAACAGTGAAGGGAAGGAAATGGGGACTCAAATCAACGATTTGGACCAGAGGAAGAAATAAACATCAACTGGAACAGAATGAAGAAACAAGAATTCAAAACAATGAGGAGAAACTTAGGAACCTCTGGGACAATTTTAAATGTTCCAACATCTGAATCCTAGGGGTGCCAGAAGGAGAAGAGGAAGAGCAAGACATTGAAAACTTATTTGAACAAATAATGAAGGAGAACTTCCCTAATCTGGCAAAAGAAATAGACTTCCAGGAAGTCCAGGAAGCTCAGAGAGTCCCAAAGAAGTTGGATCCAAGGAAGCACACACCAAGGCACATCATAATTACATTACCCAAGATTAAAGATAATGAGAGAAGCTTTAAAGCAGCAAGAGAAAAGGAGACAGTTACCTACAAAGGAGTTCCCATAAGACCATCAGCAGCTGATTTCTCAAAAGAAACCTTGCAGGCAAGAAGGGGCTGGAAAGAAGTATTCAAAGTCATGAAAGGCAAGGACCTACATCCAAGAATACTCTATCCAGCAAAACTATCATTTAGAATGGAAGGGAAGATAAAGTGCTTCCCAGATAAGGTCAAGTTAAAGGAGTTCATCATCACCAAGCCCTTATTTTATGAAATGTTAAAGGGACTTATCTAAAAAAAAGATAAAAAATATAAACAGTAAAATGACAACAAATTCACAACTACCAACAACTATCAACTACCAACAATCTAAAAAACAAAAATGAACTAAGCAAACAGCTAGAACAGGAACAGATTCACAGAAATACAGATAGCATGGAGGGTTATCAGCAGGGAGAGGGGAGAATGGGGGAAACAGTACAGGGAATAAGAAGTATAAATGATAGGTAGAAAATAGACGGGGGGTGGGTTAAGAATCATATGGGAAATGGAGAAACCAAAGAATTTATATGTACGACCCATGGACATGAACTAAGGGAGGAAATGATGGTAGGAGGTGGGTACAGGGCAGAGGGGAATAAAGGGGAGAAAAAAATGGGACAACTGTAGTAGCATAATCAATAAAATATATTTAGAAAGTATATATAGATAAAAAATAAAAGAGTTTGCAATTCTCTGCAAAATATAATTACCTGATTATATGTTTTGTCCTATTTGATGTGTTATATCTTTCTTTACCTTTTAGACTATAAATTACTCATGGATACAACTCGGATATACTTTATTTCAGTCTCTTCACATTGTGCCCCTAAATACCACATAAACGAGTTAATTGGGATGTATGTATACTATCCCACTTAGGGATCACTAATTTGTGTCCAAATAGTCTTCTTTTTAATCCTTTCCTGAGGATAAAGTTGGGGCTGAGCAGGGGAGGGGAGGGGGAGGGAGAGAGAGAGAGAGAGAGAGAGAGAGAGAGAGAGAGACATCGATTTGTTGCCTCCTGTGCTCACCCTGTTTGGGGACTGAACCTGCAGCCTTGGTGTGTGCTCTGAGCAGGGATTGAACCCGAAACCTTTGGGTATACAGGACAACAATCCAACCAATCGAGCCACAGCGGCCAGGGCAGTGTCCAAATAGATTTAACTTGGGACTATTTCAGCATGAAATAAAAGCTTTCGTCCTAAGAGGCAATCAGAAACCCAGAGT